TTTCACTTGCAGGCTATCAATCAAAGTGGAAGGATGAGTATCAATGTACAAGTATGGAAAGACTTAAAGTAAGAAAGGTTGCATTACCCAGGAGCTGTTTTAAAAACCGGCATGTTTGATTGCATCGACTCGTCGGAAGACGGAGAAGCATCCTGATAATCGGAGTCAGATGAATTGAGAGGTTGGAGAATTAGACCCGCCAAAGGAAAAGCAGAATGTAAATCAGAGGTAACCTCGGTTCGACGCTTTCTGGTTACATCAGGTAAGCCGGAGGAGAGTTCGACGTCTTGAGTGGCCCGAGTTTGCCTCCGGTTCTCAAGTTGTTGTTGCTTCAAAAGAAATTGAGGATCTTAGTAAGCTAGAGGATGTGAAAATCTTACTTTCCGGGTCACCCTTCGGATTTTTTGTGTTGGCAAAGGCTCTGAGTCGGAAAAGATTATAGTTACCTCTTCTTCAACTGCTTGACTGTTCCCAGTATCCTCCTGAAAAGATAGAATGTCAGTAAAATAGCAACAGGGGAGTTAAAAAAATTAAAGAATTACCTCTTCATCATCCAAAGAAGTATCATCCAATTTGAGCAAGTCGGAGGCGATGGGTTTCTTCTTCTTTGAGGTTCCCGTCTTGGCAGTCTTTCTTTCAGTTTTCTTGGCTGCCCTGGCTTGCTTGGCGGCCTCATGGTCATATTTGACCTTCCAGAAATTGTCATCGACCTGTGGAAAAAGATAAGGAATCATAAATACAAGAAGGCATAACATGTTAAAGAGTATTTTTGATAACTTACCGCAGGGGCCGGGTTCTTCTTGCAGAAGGGAAGTAAGCCGAAGGCATTACTGGTCACAGTGCCCTCCTTCAACAGAGATTGGACTGTAGCATCTACCACATCATCTGGTAAATCATCAGGACTTTGACGCATTGGGTCATCCTTTTCGCCTGTGTAAGTGCACATTAAGCCGGAACGGCGGCTTAATGGTAGTATCCGCCAGGTGACCCAGACTCGAACCAGATCGATACCGTTTAACCCGTTCCCTAGAAGAGCTTTGATCTTCCTGATGGTGGGGTTGAGAGGCAGGCACTCAACAGCGGATAACTTATCTGCCAGCGGATGATTGGATTCAAGGCGCAGGGGGCAAAAGCCGGGCAGAGGCTTCTCATCAGCCGGTGAGGTATCTTGACAGTAGAACCACGTCTGGTTCCAGTCTTTCGGGTGACTTAGCAGTTCAGCATAAGGGAAAAGACAGTCTCTCCGCCGCTGGATTGAGATGCCACTGAGTTCAAGACTAGGCCCATTGGCACATTCATTTTGCTGGTTCAAATAGAAGAGTTCTCTAAACAAAAGCAGACTTGGCTCCTCTCCCAGGTACACCTCGCAGAAGACTTGAAAATTGCAGAGATTTGACACGGAATTGGGTCCAATGTTTTGAGGTCTAAGGTCAAAGAAATTCAGAACTTCCCTGAAGAATTTTGAGCCGGGAGGGGCAAATCCCCGGTTCATGTGATCCGTGAAAGCTACTACCTCCCCGTCTTTGGGTTGAGGTATTTCCTCAGACGGGTTAGGGACACGATAAGACATGACCTCCTTCTTCGGCAGATGGCCGGACTTCACGAACTCGGCAAGTTTGTTATTGGTCACTGTGCATGGAACCCAATTGCAAGTCACAGGGGCTTTGGCCGCTTTAGGAGCCATGACAACAGTGGCCTACGACACAAAAAGAAAGCTCCGGTTCAACTTTAACCCGGGAGAAATATCTAAAATTATTCAAAGTGGCGGCTTAAAGAAAGGGGCCTAATGACATAAGGGTGATTGTGCAATAATATTTAAGCCGCTAGCAGTGTCAAGAGCAATTCAAGAACTCTTAAGATCATGAGAGGAAGAAGAAGTTTGCCGGGTGATAGAAACAAGTTTCACAGACGACAGTTATTATTCTGAATCAAAGTATTGCTCTAAAAGAGAAATCATCTAGACCTAAAAACAGGGCAGAGAAGTTCATACACTCGAAGAGGGTTTCTAAACAAGGGAAATGAGATTCATTTCTATGCAAGATCAACACAAACAACTACCATAGCAATTCTGCACAGTTTTTTCGATCTAAACAGGGCATTGGAAGTGAAAACTAACAAGGGTTTGCATCGGGCAGTGATGAACACCGACGAACTCGGCAGAGCTTTAACGTAGATCTAAGAAAGGGGAAGAGAGGAACTCACGGATGAGGACGAGCTGCGGAGGTTCACCGTCGGTCTCTGGTCAAAGTCAGGTCGATGCAGCGGCCTAAGTCGATGAAAACGAGGGGGTCGATGGCGACGGCGGCGGAGCTCGAGTGGCAGAGAGGAGAGGAAGAAGACGACTGAAAGGATAAAAGAGGGAAAGACCTAAGTCGCGGCTATTTATAGGGAGAGGATAACTGAGACGATGCGGGAAACGAGGAGATAAGAATTACTATCCAGCGGCCCCGACGCCTCGATTTTCGGAACAATCAATAAAGAAGAGATCCGTTGAAGGATTCGATGGAATAGAAAATGAATTAAAGGAAGAATGACGTCACGCCGGGTTAAGATGGGTCGAGAAGATGACGTCATGGCGGGTTAACAAAAACCCTCTGTATAGTCAGAAGACTGAAGATTTAATTCTTTAAAAAATATTTTTTAGATTGACATGAACAGGTTCAAATCAATCTGGGGCCTAATGTTGGGGATATAACTATTTGTGTAAGCCGCCCAGGAGGGGCCGGGTTACACCAAGAGACTCGTCAGAGAGAAGCCCAAGACCAAGCATGAAGATGGCGATATAATAAAGGGCTCAAGGCCCACAGGCGACTTAAGCCCATTGTAGTAAACCGCCATGATGGCATGACTTGTAACATAAGGTAGATTTGACTAGTCACCGAGCCGGACATTGTTTATAAGCCGGTCGGGACTCTGCAAGTCACAGGGCGTCAACCCGTGTATATAAGGGGACGACCTGCTGGCGGCTTAAGGCAAGGATCAACTCATCGAGAGCCGGGCATAGCATATCTCGCTCCCTAGTTATCGAAACATCAATACCAACCCAACTAGACGTAGGCCTTACCTTCACCGTAAGGGGCTGAACTAGTATAAACCCTCTCGTGTTCTTTGTCCCGATTTAACCCCTTCAAGCTTCCTAATTCCGATGGCTCCACAACTAAGTCCTTTCACGAGGACATCTGACGTGACAATTCCACGACACATACCATATTATCAAAGTAGCAAACGTGAATCGAACCAACATGATGAAAGTGACTAGATGAAATTCCCGTGTGCCCTCAAGAACCTTTTACCTATTATAAGATACCATTCCTGCATGTCCTTTGCCACAAAAGGATTGGGCTACCTTGCTGCACTTTTATTACCGTTATTGTTACTTGCTTATTACAAATTATCTTGCTATCAAACTATCTGTTACCTACAATTTCAGTGCTTGCAAAAATTACCTTGCTGAAAATCGCTTGTTATTTCCTTCTGCTCCTCGTTGGGTTCGACACTCTTACTTGTCGAAAGGACTACGATTGAGCACATATACTTGTGGGTCATCAGTTTGCTATTTGAACCTACTCCGTTTTGAAGATACTGTAAGATCATTTTGGTGGTTTCATTATGAGTTAATGGAACCGGGGCATGCCTCCCGGTTTATCTTAGAAAAAACATTTTGTTTTGTTTATCCACAACTTTTGCATTGTGACCTACTCTCTCAGTAAACTTTTATAAGATGTTTTAGGTTGATCTAAAACGTCTTATAAAAGTTTACATAGGTACTCCCTCCGTTCCATAATATAAGAATGTTTTTCAAACTATGTTAACTTGAAAGGCGTTCTTATATTATGGGACAAAGGGAGTAGTATTTACCTTTTCCTCGATCCCCTATGCATATGTTCATTTTTGTTTGTGATCATGCAAGGTAATCTTTATACAGAGCAGCGGACCTGATTATCTTCCTTTTAATCAACTCGATACGTGCATGTGCGTTGCCACGGGGTCAAATATTTTTTGTCTCAAAATAATTTTGTAGTCTAGGTTATGCATGGTAAGTAAGTTAATATGATTGAGTGGCATACACGAAGGTGTGATGAAATATGATGTGAAATCGAATGGCGTAATTCCATGTTATTGAAAAAAGGTAAGTTAATTAAGGTGAAGTTCATGTAGTGCTGCAAAAGATAAGTAAATCAATATGATTGAGTGGCATATTTGAAAGATGCGGTCAAATATAACGTGCTGAAAAAATTTAGCTAAATAAAATAAATAAATGAAGGAACATGATGGGAGGGGCAAAACCCGGTTGACGAAGAAGAATTTGACGCGAACAAACCTGTGGTTGGATGGTTATGTGGACAAAGGTATTCGGTTATGTGGACAACGGTATTCCCAGCCTACCAGAGTTCAAGTCCTAGTGTTCGTATTTATCCTGGATTTATTTCAGAATTTCCGGCAATGCACGTTTAGTGGGAGGAGACGTTTCCGTCGACTACGAGGCGCCTACGGTGACTTCGTAAAATATCAAAATAATATGCCGGCTCAGTCTTTCGGAGATGCTCATAAGGATAGGATGTGCGTGCGTGCGTTCATAGGGGTAAGTGTATGTGCGTATATATGAGCGCTTGTGTTTGTATTGATGTTTAAAAAAATGAGTTTGACAAAAAAGAAACACTACTTATTTTTTTTTTGAGGGGATTATTTATTTCTTTTAGGTGGTAGAGAAATGGTAACTGCAGGTGGTATCCGGTGGGTCAAACATTACTCAAAGATGCACATGACACCGTGTGTGGAACAGTGGAAGTTTAAGTGTGAGCATTTATGATTCCTCTAAACTAATCAACCGGCAAGCTCCATCACGTCCATACTACTACTAACGGGGAGTCGATTAACGAATCCACACGGCCTAGTACTGTATATATAGTTTGGATTAGTCTAACAGAAGAGCACAGGACATTAGATAAAAGCTCTGCTGGCCATCGACAAGCCATAGCTAGCTCCCAAGCTCAGGCTCCATGGCGCGCCTTCTACGAGCGGCCGCGTTAGCCGCAGTCGCCGCGCTGGCCGTCCTGGCAAGCCCGGCGACGGCGCAGGACGCGCCGTCGGCCTTGCCGGCGCCGCTGGCGTACATGAACCACACGGTTGGGGGCGCCGACGGGTGGTTCTTCAACGCGACGAGCAACACCACGTCGGGCAACTACTCCTCCTGGGCCGCCGACGAGACATTCTACCTCGGCGACTACCTCAGTACGTCCAACCTAAACCAACTGCTAATTCAGTTTGCTTCTGCTTCTTTCTGCGGTACAGTTCCTGTCGCACAATGTGCAGTGAGTGTGAGAAAGAAAGAAACCAATCGAGCTAGTGTTCTGAACTTCTGATGCATAATAAGGAAAATGGGGATCCATAATTCTACATGTCATGAAATTGTTGGGCCTTCGGTTTAGTTAGTTATGAAGAGTATACACTTAGAATTACTGTCTGAAGTACAGATTTACTGCATCCTAAAAAGGGGTACCTTGAGAGAAGTGGAGAGGCAAACAAATTCGTGCAAGCACAGTTCTTCAAGAAAAACGAACAAGAGGCCATGAAACTTGAAGCAACCAATAATTCAGAACTTAGATCCAGATCTAGCTATAGGAAAATTAGAATCTTTCTGTACATTCTGACATTCGTTGACTTTAATATACTGGTAGGTTTTTGTATGTCACCTAGTAAAGCACGATTTTTTTTAATGATGGAAGATAACACCTCCCTTAGCCTCCACATCATGTCATCCGCATAGTGCATATTTATTAGAAAGTTCAATCCTATCAGGCACAAAATAGTGTTAGAAATGCTGGTACATTTTTCTACAGACTTGCTTAAATTTAAAAAAGTTTTAACTTAGAACAGAACTTAAACTTTAAAATATATTGAAACAGAGGGAGTATTTCTCTAGCATCAGCAATCCTCTTAAGGCCATGTTCGATTAATCCCCTTACCACAGGGATTAAAGGGATTGGGGAGGTTTGAGAAGGATTTTGACTTGCAAGGGATTTAATCCCCTTCAATCCCTTTCAAACCTCTTCAAACCCTCCCAAACCGAACAAGGCCTAAGTGATCATTCAGTGTCATGTAGTTTACTTAATCACTGATTTGTGTAGTTATATACTACTACTCCCTCCGTTCCGAATTACTTGTCTTGGATTTGTCTAGATACAGATGTATCTAGACTCATTTTAGTGCTAGATACCTCTGTATCTAGACAAATCCAAGACAAGTACTCCCTCCGTTCTAAAATAGATGACTCAACTTTGTACTAACTTTAATACAAAGTTGGGTCATCTATTTTGGAACGGAGGGAGTACTTCTTTGCATCGAACAGCTCAACCATGAGCCAGTTACACTCAACTAAACCAAATTCATGCTGATCACTACCTATTTCTTCCTGCCAGTATTCAAGACGAACGATAACTCGTCGGTGGTGGTCACCTCGAACTCCACCACTTACTCCCTCTGCGATCCCAGCGAGGACGACGGGCTGGAGACCTACATCTACAGCGGCGGCGTAGGCGGCCTCGAGGAGACCGACGCCATCTCTGTCCCTCTCCTCTACGAGGGCACCAACTACTTCTTCTCGGAAGCCGACGGCGGCGTGCAGTGTCAGCAGGGCATGCGCTTCCAGATCAAGGTAGCCCACGGCCACGGCTTGCCGCCCGCTCTCGCCCACCCGCCGTCGCCGTCGCCAAAGGAAGGCGTCCTCGCACCACCACCAAAGGAAGGCGCCCTCGCACCGCCACCCGCTGGGTCAGCCTTCTCGGTCTCGCAGGGGCCGGTCGCCGCCAGTGCCAGCGCCGGCGCCGGCACCGCCAGTGACTACACGGATGGCAACAACGCTGACTGTAGAGCGGTGGGCAGTCGTTTCTTGGGGGTTGCTGTTGTGGTTACCTTAGCATTTTTGGTTGCTCCCTGAGCGAATAGGGTCACGCTGTCAGTGAAGCAGGAGTTGGAACTAAACGGTATTCGAATTTATATGTAGTTATGGTATGTTGCTGCTGGACCACTCCTTTTTTTCCTACAGAAAAATAGTTATTTTTTCTCATCGTAACATGTTTTTTTTTAGGTGTGCTTTTGTACACCAATGAAAAGTTTACGGCACCTTCCTCGATCTTTTGACTAATATCAAATATAGTTTATGTTCTTATCAGTTTAATATCTGATATGAAGTACATTCCCATAACCATATTAAATTTATTTTTTGTGGGGATATCCACCACAGTGGCTTGCCACTGGCCCCTCCTCGGTTGTCAACCAGTGCGTTGCACTATAGCCTGAAAAGACGCGGATTTTTTTAATTATTTTCAAGGCAGATGTATATATATGATGAACGTTTGGTTAACCTACTGGCAACTTCCACCCAGTCCTCAACATGTATATTTAGCGCATGGCCACGGATTGCCGTCGGTATGTCACAAAGTGACCACCGCGAGCATCTGAAAGCGAGAAAAGAAAAAACCTTCAACCCCGCGTTGCTCTTGTGTGGAGTGACATGGGTGGGTTGAAAGTTGAAACCTAATCGTCACCGGACTCTCCATCCTTCTCTCCATTGTTGCCAGCAAAGGACGCTATCTGGCAGGGACAACAGTGATGCAGATTGGTGATTGTCGTCCGTTTTGGGTCCCTGGTCCGCCCGTGCCTGTTTTAGAGTGGCCAAATTGAGTGGGGAAGCCGCCTCCATGGGCAGGTCGGGTGGTAGGCCAGAGCGGCTCTTCCCTAGATCGGGCTAGGGACGAGGTTGGGTGCCTTGGGTGTGGAAGGAGTGCCATCCCACCCTGTCTCTAGCAATCGACAACCTCGATGTGAGGCTGCAGCACAAAATAGCCTTGGTTGTGCGCCGGGGGTGCCCTAGCACATGCAAAGGATGTACTTTCTCGTCCCTACTCTGGTGGTCGACAGTGAAGGTGGTGGATGCCAAGGTGGCATCCCTGGACGGTGGGATGCATGTCTAGCTCCCCTCCAGAGTGTATCTATTAGGGGTGTTGTTATGATCCCCTCCACATGCCAAGGATCCAGATGAAAACTTCACGGTCAAAGGGTCGATCTCGATGCCTATCGTCGTTATTTGCCACTAGGAGATCAATTTTTAAAGCGCAATGGGCCAGGAGACGACCATTGCCCTCTTTGCCATGTTTGATTAGGGCATGAATCATATATTTTTCTCCTATGTCTTGGCTCGGTTTCTTTGGAGCTGCATTAGGGAAGTGTGTGGGAAGTGGCGGAGCTAGGTAGAAACCATTTGGGGGGGGCAAGGCTAAAACACGAGTGTTTGAGGGTGTAAAATGCTAAAAAAAGTCCCTTCTAA